TCGATCCCTGGATCAGGACGATCCCCTCGAGAAGGGAACGGCAACCCAGCCCAACATTCTTGCCCAGAGAATTCCATGGACAGAGGAGCCTGGCAGGCTACAGTCAGTGGAGTTACAGAGAGTTGGACATGACTGAGAGACACACTTTAGGGAAGGAACTCACCAGACATTCTCTTAAATGCCAAGCAATCAATGCCTCTCCTACAAGTCACCTTCCTTTGTAAACATTCTGCCTCATAATTTCTTCTTGGAGGAGAAATAAGATGGTGATGATAATTCCATCATCAGATGATAATTTTTTTATTGTGCAGAAAAGCAATAATGAATCTCTACTGGAAGCAAATACAGTATCGATAAATGCTAAGGAATGTGGCTCTGGAACATAACATTTTTCTGCTAAAAACTGTTTCTGACTAATATCACCACAGAGTTTTTGTCTTCTTGTCTAGATTGGATGCCACATCATTTGTGGTTAAACTCTTTCATAAAACGGCATTGTTTTCAAAAGATAATATAATACAGAGGTTGAGGAATTGCTGTCATTTCTCGTCTGTGGGCCCCAACCCGTGACCGGGCAGTACTGTTTGGATATTGCTTGAGTGAGAAAACGAAGCACTCGGGAAATCCCCCAGTCTCAGAAGTCATGTTTTGATAGAGGCAGAGCCAGTCTCACTTGATGAATTACGTTCCGGAACAATCTCCTGCTTTGTGAGCGCTGTGTTGTCATTTCAGCTTTTCCCCTGAGAGCTCTTTATAGCAGTCTCACCACTTAAATGCTCGTCGGGTTAAATAACGTGAAGTCCGTGAAATCCCAAAGTCTTTTCCCAAGAGAATGAGACAAAGTACAGACTGGAATATGCTGGGAGAAGGAGGGATGTCATTTCTGATTCCTGCTCTGTAATACCCCCACATCTGGACCTGGTCAACTTCCACCATCTCCAAACTTTATGCCACCATTTCCTCCTCCTCCTCCCCCAGTTTCCTTCCCCAATGAGCCCTCAGTTAGCTCTCATCTGAACGGCTGTAGTGGTTCTTTTTTGATTATGGTTGATTTACAATGTTGTGTTACTTTCAAGTGTACAACAAAGTGATTCATATACATGTGTGTGTGTGACACACACACATATCCTTTTAAGATTCTTATTCCATATACATTTTTACAGAATATTGACTATAGTTCCCTGGGCTATGGCTTCCCAAAGCAGAGACATTACTTTGCCAACACAGGTGCATCTAGTCAAAGCTATTTTTCCAGTAGTCATATATGGATGTGAGAGTAGGACTATAAGGGAAGCTGAGTGCCAAAGANGACCCACTCTAGTAGTCTTGCCTGGAGAATTCCATGGACACAGGGTCCTAAAGGTCTGCAGTGCATGGGGTCACGAAAGAGTCAGACACAACTGAGCAACTAAACAACAACAACAAGGGAACATGAGGAGAGACTCTTGAGTCCAGGGGTTCTCAGACTTCAGCAAGTGTCGGCACCACCTGGAGCGCTTCTTGAAACGGAGTGCTGGGCCCACCTCCAGAGTTTCTGATTCAGTGGATCTGGAGTAGGGCCCAAGAGTTTGCTGTTCTAACAAATCCTCTGGGGATGTGGATGATGGCCATCCAGGACTACCCTTTAAGGACCTCGCTTCCACTTGTTCATGGTGCTTTAGCCACTGTGTACAAGCTCTTCATTTTTCCTTCAGGGTAGAGGAGATTTTTTTTTTTAATTAAAATATTTTAGGTACAATATATACAACATTAAGGGTTTCCCTGTGGCTCAGATGATAAAGAATCCGCCTGCAATGCAGGAGACCTGGGTTCCATCCAGGGTTGGGAAGATCCCCTGGAAGAGGGCATGGCAACCCACTCCAGTCTTCTTGCCTAGAGAATCCCCATGGACAGAGGAGCCTGGTGAACTACATACAGCCCATGGGGTCACTCAAAGAGTCAGATACGACTGAGTGACTAAGTACAGCACAGCACACAACACTGAATGTACCATCTTCGCTTTTTTTCAGTGTACTGTTCAATAGTATAAGTCCATTCTCACTGTTGTGTAACCATCACCACTATCCACCACCATCCAGAACTCCTTTTGTCTTACAAAACTGGAACTCTGCATCCATTAGGTGATAGCTCTCCTTTTCCCCTCCCCCAACCACAGTGAACAATCAGTTTATTTTCTGTCTTTATGAATTTGGCTACATTAGATCTCATACATGTGATTTATACAAGGCTTATCCTTTTGTGACTGGATGTTTTTCCACTTAGCAGATGGCTTCAAAATTCACTGATGCTGCACCATGGGTCAGAATTTCCCTCTTTTTTAAGGTTGAATAATATTCTAGTGTCTCTACTATATTGTTTATCCATTCATCTGTCCATGGACACTTGGGTAGCTCCCATTTCTTGGCTATGGTGAAAAATAGTACTGTGAATATAAATGTGCAAGTATCTCTTTGAGACCCTGCTTTCAATTCTTGTATGTATTAATATATATCCAGTAGTGGAATGACTGGAGCAGTGGAGTTTCTTATCAAGTGCCTCATCCTGTGGATTATATGGGATAACGTAGATAAAGAATCAACATAATGATCACACATAGAAACATAAACTTCTGCATCACACAGTCCTCTGGTCATTAGATCTATATAAACTAAATATCCTTTGATGATGTTGAAGTTATTAGTAAGGACTGTGTATAGGTGAGGCAAGTTAGATTTAAAAACATTCTGAATTTTTTCCCCTAACTTCACACTTGAACTGAGATAAGATTTTGGTGCAGACATAGGCATATCTTGTTGTTTTTGTTTTTTTAGCCATAAGGCTCTTCTTTAAAAAAAAAAAAAAAAGACAGCTTTTTATTTTGTGTTAGAGCATAGCTGATTAACAGTGTTGTAACAATTCCAGGTGGGGCAGCAAAGGGACTCAGTGTGTAGGTGTCCATTCCAAACTCCCTAACTATCCCTTCCCCCACTCCTTCTCTCCATCCTTCCTCCTGGCATCCACAAGTTCATTCTCTAAATCTGTGAGTCTGTTTCTGTTTTGGCCACAGCACATGGCGTGTGGGATCTTAGTTTCCCAACCAGGGTTTGAACATGCCCCTGGTAGGGAAAGTGCAGAGCTATAACCAGTGTATCACCAGGGAAGCCTCCAGCATGTCCTATTTTAAGCTCTTAGTGTGAATACTTGATATAACACTTGTTAAAAAAGTACTTGATAGAAATGCTTGATGACAAGCTGTTTGTGTGAATCATTAGAAACGGTGCTGCCTCACTCAATGCCCCGGGAAGTCTCTTTCCTGGAAAGTTCTCTTTCACCTCATTTCACTTACCCTGCAAATACACTTGCAGGGTGTTACTAAAGCAGAAGGATTCAAGGACGGGGATAATTAGATTCATCACCAGCACTGGAAGTAAAGACTCATATGTGTGTCTTGGGAAAATATGTTCTCTAGAGTAAAGATGTTCACAGTGCAGTCTTCAGACTGACCAATCCATCCACTCATGATCACCAGTCATGAAACGAGACATGAGCACACAGAGGAATGGAAATTCAGGCAAAGCAACCATATCACTACCCTACACACTGCCTAGGTCAGCTGACTTTTTTTTTTTGTAGCAAGAGTTTCTCAAGGAAGGGAAGAGTGTGTAGATTAGATTCTGGCACAGGCTCCCTGATTTGCACTGTCCCAGGTCACACTGAGTTTGATGAGACAGTAGAAGCTATGTCCTCCGTGGGGTCTTGTCCTATCTCAGATGGAATAAGGGACCAGGCATACTTGTCTGTTATAGCACTCACTGCACTGTATTGTAATGGTCTTTTTTAAAATATCACATTTATTTAGTATCTATTTTTTAGGTACAAAAATACATGTCCTGTGCCGAGCCAGTTGTGTCTGACTCTTTGTGACCCCTTAGACTGTAGCCCTCCAGACTCCGCTGTCCATGGGATTTTTCAGGCAAGGATGCTGGTGTGAATTACCACTTCCTTCTCCAGAGGATCTTCCTGATCCAGGGATCAAACCTGCATCTGCTGCATTGCAGGCAGATTTGTTACCTGCTGAGCCACTGGGGAAGCCCCCATAAAAATATATAGAACCTGCTAAACCACGAAAAAGAATGACGTTCTGATCCATATTAAAACAGGGATGAATTTTGAAGGCCTTCGGCTGAGTGAAACAAGCCATTCACAAAAAGACAGATACTGTACGGGTCCACTTACAGAAGGTTCCTAGGATAGTCAGAATCATGAGGCACGAAGTGGGTCTGAGGTTACCAGGGCCTCTGGGAAGAGAAAGTGGGGAGTTACTGCTTCATGGTTAGAGGGTTCTTGTTTGGGATGATGAAACAGTTTTTGTAAGAGTGGGGGTGGGTTTACAACACTGTGAATGTACTTAATGTCACTGAACTGGAGCCTTAAAAAGAGCTAGGATAGTAAATTTTTTATTATATTTTATCACAATAAAAAAAGTAGAAATATTAAAAAAAAATAGTACACACTGGTTGAAAAGAGTTCAAATAATATAGATACACATAAGCCAAAATGTGCACGAGAGACCTGAGATAGCCAATCCTTTGCCCAGTCTCTAAAACCGCAGGAAAACATCCCAGATTTGGGAACTGCTCAAAAGGGCCAGGGAGGTTGGTTGAGAAGGGCCAACACTAAGCTACTCCTAGCATCAGGAGACACATCGATTGAAGACACATTGCTTTCAGCAAAATTCACAGGAGAAAGGTGAAATACCTTCCACCACGGCTGGCAAGATCTAGTGCTTCAAAGTATATCCTCGAATCCTGGCAATGATTGTCTAAGAATATATTGATTGAGCACGCAGTTTAAAAAAGTGCACTCACCCATGCATTACCAGACCCACAGCACACCCTGATGCACACAGCTGCGATCTTTGCTCCTTGGCAAAGTCCTCGTGGAGTCAGCAGGTTCACTGTTCCTTCCCTGGGCATACCCCTCCCTCTCTTCACTCATCTCCCAGCGTTCCGCACGCCTGTCCCTGTTTGTTTAAACCCCAGCCTGGGAAGCATGGACACCCTTCAGGATCAGCCTCACCACCATGTTTCTTCTGACTCCAGTCTTGGTAGCAGTTGTCTGCATTTTGATGGTGTGGATCTTTAAAAATGCTGATGGAGGCACTGAGAGAAGGAATGGGGAGCCTAGGGCTGAGGCCCGTCCCTGGGTGGATGAAGACTTGACGGGTAGCACCGATGTCCACCAGGAGGAAGCAGGTAAAGACACTGGCTCTGCAGCTCCGGTTCCACCTTCTGTATTTTTACAACGAGGTCAAGTGGGTGGCAGGGCTTATGGGGAGAAATAAATGCAGGCAGGTCAGTTTCATCATCAATTTCTACTGTGCAAACAAATTAGTGTGTGACGGAGACATCACTTCTCTTGGGTGTCAGCTTGTCATTTGCTGTCACCAAGTAAAAAGCTGGATTGTCAGTAAAAGAACTGTTGAAGGGTTGGCTTTCCCCAGCTCCTGTCCTGACTGGCTGCTAAAATCTTTCTGCAGGGGGCACAGCATGGGCTGATGTGGCCATGAGTTAAGTAGTCAGGTTTTGATCAAGAACTTTGAAATAAAAGAAGGGGCAGCTGTGTAGGGGCTCACTACTACTCATTACAGCAACCCTGTGAGTTAGAGACAAGAGTGGCTGTGGTCCTCAAAGCTGAGTGTCTGAGTCAGTAGACAAGGCATGGAACGGACAGCTAAAAGAGAATAATAAACAGACAGGCGGAACTGGTTGATTATAAGGTGTTTTGAGAAGGCTCAGGATCTTGGAGAGGCAGTTACAGAAAGGCTGAACCAGGCCTGGTGGATTACTAGGATATGAATAGTAAGGATGAGGTTAAGAGGAACAGAAGGAGCCTGAATACAGAACCGCTAGGAAAGATGCTAAGAAGATGGAAGGACTATGCTGACCAGGGAAGGGGCAAAAATTAAGTGGGATGTTGAGGATGGGCTGGGGCATGGTTGTCCCAAGAGAGACAAGGTGATGAAGGAGGCAGGCAGGAAGGGAGAGGTTTTGGGGAGCTCTGAGTGATCTCAGAGGAGGGTCTGAGGGGAGGGTCTGAGGTGGTTCTGTGGGCTGGATTTGACTTGGAAGAGGCTCAGTGACTCTCAGCTGGAGTAGTAATGGCTCCAGTTTTCAGTCGCTCAGTCATGTCCGACTCTTTGCAACCCCATAGACTACAGCACGCCAGGCCTCCCTGTCCACCACCTACTCCTGGAGTTTACTCAAACTCATGTCCAGTGAATCGATGATGCCGTCCAACCATCTCATACTCTCTCGTCCCCATCTCCTCCTGCCTTCAATCTTTCCCAGCATCAGGGTCTTTCCAAATTAATCAGTTCTTGGCATCAGGTGGCCAAAGGATTGGAGTTTCAGCTTCAACATCAGTCCTTCCAATGAATATTCAGGACATCCAAAAGAGGCCACCTGGAAGTATATGTGTGCATGTGTGTGTAAGTGTGTGTGTGTGTTCTGAGTTGTCCTAACCTTAGGATTTGGGGGTGGGGTATACAGCTGGCACTCCATGCTGGAAGCCATGCACCACTGGCCATACCATGTACACTGAATATACCACACAGGGTCCAAGCCCAGGCAGCCTCCTAGCAGGGCTGCCTCTTACTCTCCTCTCTGGATGCCAACTACGCCAGCTGAGAAGCACTCCCCTGAACGAGGGGAGATCCACTCTGAAGATGGGTAAGGATCTGCTCCGGTAACAATGGGCAGGGCAGTGGGGACAGTGTGATGCAAGAGAAGAGGTGACTCAGAGGGACGCTCAAGGAAGAACAGTGGGCTCTGGCAATAAGTTAGATGTCGAGGAAGAAGAGGACGAAGAGGAAGAAGAGGGCAATGATTTGGAGACTGGAAGAATCAGAACAACGCTGTCATATGAGGGTGAGGGGCGGGGACCCAGTTTAAAGAGGAAGCTGTTGAGTGTAGTGCAGGGCATGCTGGACTTGAGAGAACAGTGGCACATTGAAGCAGAAAGATAGGGAGGTTTCTAGGTGAGAGATCCAGGCCACAGACACTGGTTGGAGAGTCACTAGCTTACAGTGATGCTTGGAACTTGGAAAACGAATGAATTCGCTAGGATGTATTGCTAAAGAGAAGGCTGAGAAGAGAACCTGGTGGGGAGCACATTCAGATGAGAGGAACTGCCTGGGAGGAATGGACTTAGAAGACAAGACGTAGGGAAGAAGGGCCAGATTAGTAGTCATAACAAGCCCTCCCAGGTACTTTCTATATCCGAGGTCACTTTTACACAGGGTGAATCACTTAGTCTTCATAATACAGGGAGCAGGCACTATTATCACCCCTATATTACAGATAAGGAAGCTGAGCTCAGATCATCTAAATCATCTGTCCAAGCAGCTAGTGGTGAAGCCAGGACCCAGCGGGGGCTGGTTGCAGGGTTCTAGGCTTACAAGCTAGACATCTTTTCCAAAGAATGACCCAGAACAGAGCAGGCAGGAGATGGCCCACAGGGTTAAACATTCACTGAGAGATCAGAAGTAGTGTGTGCATTGAGGAAAGCCCACTGACTCTGAAGACCCAAGGGTTGAAGGGATACAAAGGGATCGTTGTGGCCGGTGGGGAACCAGGGACCTGCGCCTGATGGTTGGGACCAGACACCAAAGCTTGGCGGCCCTGTTCTCCTTCTCTGCCTGTTGATTCCCTTTCCATTCTCTATTCTTTACAAAGAGGAATGAAGTGAACGTGTAGCGGCCCCCTCAGCAGCCATGGGCAAATTTTCCCCAAGTGTAGAGTTCACAGTCTCTTGTTGGGATTTTTGCTGTCTACTTAAGTGATATTTCCTGAGGTCACACGGGCACACAGGTAGTAGTTAGGGCTAATGTTTAAACTCAGTCTCCTCTGCCACCCAAGTCCCTGCTCTTAACCACTGGGTGGGTGGACACAGTCTAAGACAGGATACACTGCCAGTACTGTGGCTCCAGTGGAGGAGAGGAGAAGGCTACCATTACCAAGAAAACATGAGATGGCTTTGATAACAGTGAATAGAGACCAGGGGCAAGCCATTTTGAAAATTAACAGACAAAACAGTAAAATAAGTTTTGTAGGCCATTCTAGTGTGAGTTAAGGAAAATATGAGCACCAATCCAACCTCTGCCAGCTGTGACTCACCAGATTCCTGTTCCACATTCACAGATCGGGGAGTCAGCCTGTGTGGGGTAGGGGGCGGGTCATAGAGAGGACATGCTGATTAGATGTCAGACACAGATTTTGTCTGGGGACCAGTCACACATGGTGCCCTGATGGTGATTTTCAGTTCCCTCTTTATCTGTGGCAGAGGCCTGAGGAAGAGAAATGACCCATATTTAATCTCAAACAGGAAGCCTCAGATTGCTTCCCCAAAGTGAACTGAAGATACCACACAAAAACCCTCCAGTCAGCCCCAGATTCATGAAAACTCATGGAACTGGAAATAGGAGGAAAAGACAGGAAACACATTCAGATGTGTCCATTTTAATGTTAGTGGGGATTTTCTTTACTTGGCTTTGCTAGCCATACAAAAGCTAGTATTCTAACTGAATTTTTATTGTCCCAGTCACTGCTAATAAAGGCTTTGCCAAAATTTTTATCTAATGTGCTCAACACCTGAGAATAAAAATGTTCCTCAGACTTAGGAACAGATAGATTTTTATGTACCCATATGCAGCTGTTTCAAACCTGTTCATTGGATCAATGACAGCTCATTTCAGTAAAAGCTTAACAAGTCAACCAATTAGAGATGGACTCATTCCAGTACCAGCTCCTCTGCATGCCAACCAATCAACAACAGTCTCAACCAAGTAACACTGTTCCTACAGATGATATCAACCCTCTTACTTGCCTGGAAGTCAACCAATGCCTGAACTCCATGTTTTCCAACCAAGTGGTGTGCAAGAACTAGCCTGAGATCTTAGAGGTTCAGGAAATTTATGGGCCATTGTTCACTTGCTGGTAGCTTGAAGTCAGGCCATGATGGAAGTGCTGACTCTATATTATAGCACTGGAAATTGGCCAGTGCTATAATTCAGTGATCTTTTTCTCCCTACTCTCAGAGAGCTGGTTTACTAGCACACCACTGACAAAAACGCTATGTAAGAGCAGCACTCGTGACCCACCTGGCTTTCCTCTGCTATAAGAAGCAAGGAATTCAGCTTCATCTTTGCCTTTCATCACCTTTTGACACCCATGCATACTTCTGCATGACTAATTTTAAAAGGCTGGTTTACCAGGCCTCCAGTAAGACATTATGGTCCTAGAATAAAGGAGAGGTAAATTCAAATTCAGATGAGAGAAGATTAGGGACAGGAAAGGATTTGATGGAGATGTCATCCTTGGGATCAAATCTGGGTGAGCGCTGCTGGGGAGAGTGAAGTTCAACACAGGACACTGGGGACCCCAGAAGAGGTGGAGGGGCTCAGAAAACAAGTTCTGTCCACTTTCCCTGGGGTAGCGTTGCTCTAATCCAGATCTTTCCAGCTGAACACTCCCAGACGCCCCAAACCCCGCCCACTCTTGCTGTTGCTGGTGAGTCAGTTTACACTGTAACAAATTGCAGAGAGGCCCACACAGAAAGGAAAGTGATGGCTGAGGAAGTGGGAAGGAGATGTTCTCTGGGCCAATGTTGAGCCCCAGAGCTGTTCCCATTGTCAACTGCAAGAGCTGCGTCACCCAGAGCCTTATTAACATGGTAGCTCAAGGCTCCTCCAAAATTGCAGGGAGGGAACAAGGATGATACGACACAAATTGGCCTAGCGGTTTCATAGCCGGAAAACATTTGGCCCGTTTGCCAAGATTTGGAAGTGGAACTGCAAAAACACAAAAGCAGTTCACATAGAAAAATGCAGCCAGAAAAATGCCTCCAAGTTAAACATTAAAGGATAAACATAACCTAGAATTACTTGGCCATTAAGCCTAATTAGGGAGCAATTTGGCTCCCTGGCATTCAAGCCATGATACAAGGCAAGCTGGTTTTGGTGTCAATAGCAAACTGCATGTGTGATAGCACAGGACTTCTGTTAAAAGCAGACCACAGCGGTGTGCATTTATTTTGGAACATGTGGGCTCCACCACTTGAATGAATGCACCAGAGTGGTTTGGCTGGTCTGGGCTGGAAGCAGAAAAGCCACAGAATGGAGGCTCTTCCCTCTCCTTTGGTGAGGCCACATTCCCTGGGGGTGGGGGGGATGGTTAGGAGTTCGAGAGGAAGGAGAGAGCGGTGCCTTTTGTATTGGTTCACTGCCCTGCAGTCCCTCGGAACTTTTCTCCATCTGGCTCAGCTGACCCCTTTCCCCAGGTCGAGTGTAGGCTGGGGAGAGGCTCCAGGAACAGCAGCCCCCCTGTGCTCTGCTCAGAAAGCCCTTCAGGACAATCTAACCCACCGGTGGTTGGGACCGTGTGTCTGCCCCGCTCAGAGACAAGGCTGCGCTGATAAGGCTTGAGAGGCAGCCCCTTCATTCTGCCCGAGTAGGAGCGCCTACCCTGGACCTCAGTGGCTGCAGAAACTGCCGACTCATGCCCCGTGGCTGCCTTTAGTTTCTGCAAATGGTGGACGGACCTGAAGTTAAGGAGGCCTTTCATGCATTCGCTCACTTACCATTGACGGACTACAGAGTTTGCTGGACTTTGGACACATGGTAGGGGAGTATCACTGGTGTCGAAAGCATTTGCTGATGCATTTGATAAAGTTGACCTGATGATGTCTGCGTTTGGTTCAGGGTGGAACACCAGAAAGCTGGTAGGTGTTAGTGGCCACTCCCCCATCACATCTAGTACCTTCTGATTTAGTAGCTGGGCCATCTCATTAAATGTGTACCGTGTGGGCTCCCACTGCCCCCAGCTAGTAAAGTGTAAGAAGTTTCTCACTACTACCAATGAGCTACCATGATCGCTACTAGTATTGTAGTTGGGTTCTCAGTCTCCCCCAAATCCCCTTTTCTCCCTCTTGCCTTCTTTTCCCCATCATCACATACCCAGCAGTGAAATGTGTGGGTGCTCGCAGGGGTGGAGGACTCTCTCCTACCTGAATTTTAAAAGGCTGGTTTACCAGGCCTCCTGTAAGACATCATGGTCCTAGGATAAAGGAGAGGTAAATTCAAATTCAGATGAGAGAAGATTAGGGACAGGAAAGGATTTGATGGAGATGTCATCCTTGGGATCAAATCTGGGTGAGCGCTGCTGGGGAGAGTGAAGTTCAACACAGGACACTGGGGACCCCAGAAGAGGTGGAGGGGCTCAGAAAACAAGTTCTGTCCACTTTCCCTGGGGTAGCATTGCTCTAATCCAGGCCCTGGATTTTCTTGGATTCTTCTGGACCTTCTGGATCCTCTATTTTGATTGTCATTCTCATCTTTATTTGAGGGATCCCTAAGCAACATCTCCCCTCCTGCAATCCCCCCTAATCCTGGGGGTGCCCCAAGGGGCACCACTGACAAAAACACTATGTAAGAGCAGCACTCGTGACCACCTAGCTTTCCTCTGCTATAAGAAGCAAGGAATTCAGCTTCATCTTGGCCTTTCATCATCTTTTGACACCCATGAATACTTCTGCAACCATCCAAGACCCCAAGTGGATACCTAAAACCACAGATAGTACTGGACCCTACATACCCTAACCTTTTCCTATACATACATGCCTATGGTAAAGTTTAAATTAGACACAGTAAGAAAAGGAGATCAGTCCTGGGTGTTCATTGGAAGGACTGATGCTGAAGCTGAAACTCCAATACTTTGGCCACCTGATGCGAAGAGCTGACTCATTTGAAAAGACCCTGATGCTGGGAAAGATTGAGGGCAGGAGGAGAAGGGGATAACAAAGGATCAGATGGTTGGATGGCATCACCGACTTAGTGGACATGAGTTTGGGTAAACTCCGGGAGTTGGTGATGGACAGGGAGGCCTGGTGAGCTGCGGTTCATGGGGTCTCAAAGAGTTGGACACGACTGAATGACTGAACTGAACTGAAGAGAATATCTAAATTGCCAGCATCATTACTCACGTGCTTTGAGGTCACTATTAAGTAAAATCAGGGTTACTTGAGAACAAGCAGTACCCCAGCAGTTGACCTGATAACTGTGCTGTGCTCAGTTGCTCGGTCATGTCCGACTCTTTCCGTGGCCTCACGGACTGTAGCCCGCCAGGCTCTTCTGTCCATGGGGATTCTCCAGGCAAGAATACTGGAGTGGGTTTCCATGTACTCCTCCAGGGGATCTTCCCAACCTAGGGATCAAACTCAGGTCTCCAGCACTGCAGGCAGATTCTTTACCATCTGAGCCACCAGGTAAGCCCTAAGGCTACTAAGTGTCTAATTAGGTGGATATGTGAACAAAAGGATGATTCATGTGGGTGGGGGGATGGGGCGGGACAGGCATTAGATTTCATCATCTTACTCAGAATGGTGCATAATTTAAAACTTCAGTTCCGTTCAGTCACTCAGTCATGTCCAACTCTTTGCAGTCCCATGGACTGCAGCACACCAGGCTTCCCTGTCCACCACCAACTCCCGGAGCTTACTCAAACTCATGTCCATTGAGTTGGTGATGCCATCCAATCATCTCATTCTCTGTCATCCCCTTCTCCTCCAGCCCTCAATCTTTCCCAGCATCAGGGTCTTTTCCAATGAGTCAGCTTTTTGCATCAGGTGGCCAAAGTATTGGAGTTTCAGCTTCAGCATCAGTTCTTCCAATGAATAGTCAGGACTGATTTCCTTTAGGATGGACTGGGTGGATCTCCTTGCAGTCCAAGGGACTCTCAAGAGTCTTCACCAACATCACAGTTCAAAAGCATAAATTCTTTGGCATTCAGCCGTCTTTATAGTTCAACTCTCACATCCATACATGACTACTGGTATAAATTGCTTATTTCTTGAATTTTCCACTTAATATATTCAGAACACAGTTGAACCTTGGTAACTGAAACCTGCCTCAGAAAGCAAAACCTCTGTACTCGGGGGGCAGGAAGGGAGGAACGTTGATTTAAGAGTTAAGAAACCTAAACTATAGTTCTGGCTCCATGAGAGATTATTGCATGTTTAGGACAAACTAACTGTATTCATTCATTCCATCTCCTACTTTTGCCCCACCTTCCCCAGATGATTTATCTCTCATCCTTCTGACTCACTTAAGAGACTGTGAAGTGTCTTAACAGTTGTGTTCAGTTGATCTACCCTCGGGATTTTTTGCATAATTCATTTCTATGGCTTTCTTATTAAAACAAAACACACACACACACACACACACACACACACACACAAATCCCTTAATTGTGAAATGTAAGGTAGTGGTTGGTTTAGTCACTAAGTCATGTTGAACTCTTTGCAACCTCATGGACACAGGGATCACACCCGCATATGGTACATTGCAGGTGGATTCTTTATCCTGAGCCACCAGAGAAGCCTGTGATATGTAATATGCTGGCTGGAAATGTGTATAAAACATAGATGAATGGCTTAACAATAATTTGAAAGCAAAAATCCATATAATTATCACTTAGAGCAAGAAGTATAATTTTCTAGTACTCCATAAACCCATACATTCCCAGTCACACCTCTTTCATCCCACAGACAAAACTATTATTTTTAATTTTACAGGAATTACTTCTTTGTTTTTCTTTATAGGTGTATCACCTAAACATGCATTCCTAAACATTAGCGTTTTATTGCCTATATTCTTTTCACTTTGTTCCTTTGCTTAACATTTTATTTGTAAAATTCATTCAGGTTAGGCATGTGACTGCAGTTCATTCATTTTTGCTGCTGTATAGTATTCTGTTTCATGAGTATATCACAATTTATTTATTTTACTGTTGAGGAAGATCTTGGCTATTTCCAATTCAGGACTATGATGAACTATGCCTGTAAGAACATTTTAATACTTATTTCCAGGATACACACACATGACTATCTCTGGGGTATGCATGGGATTGCAGAGTTACAGTGTGATGGGCATGGAAATGTATCACCCTTCAAGGAAAGACTTGTTACTCCTTCTATTAGGAGTGTTGTAAGCAAATAGCCTTCAACTGTCTGCATACTCCAGAGTTTACCTTTGCTTTGCCCAAGATTCTGCCTTTCCCAGGGTGGTTTATATGCAATGACTGGTTGGCTTAGGGGTATAAAGGCCCAGTCATTTGGACCTAGTTGAGGACAACTCTGATGGGCTATTTTTCTTTCAAAGATGCCCTATTGTTGACTAAACCATCATACAAGGCTTACAATGAAGTATGATGTCTTCTGTCCAATCGTGTTTCTTCCCTCTCTTTCCACAGATTTTGTTCCCAAAGGTACTTCCTATAAACATCCTACAACTAGTTTCAGTTTGAAACTGCTTCATGATCTGTCTGATCATTCCAATATCTCAAGTCTTTGTAGGTCTATTTCTGAAGCCTGTGATTTCTATGGTTATTATTCATGACTTCTTATTTTCTTGAACACAGTTTTTTTTATTGTACACTGGTTATTCTTTTGGAAAATTACTCATAATTTTTTTGAGACCTAAGATATAGTTAGGGCTTCCCAGGTGATATAGTTAGGCTTTCCTCAGTGGTAAAGAATCCACCCGTCAAGCAGGAGACAGTGGTTCTAATCCTGGATCAGGAAGATCCCCTGGAGAAAGAAATGGCAACCACTTCAGTAGTCTTGCCTGGGAAATCCCATGGACAGAGGAGCCTGATGGGCTACAGTTCATGGGGTCCCAAAAGAGTCAGACATGACTTAGCAACTAAACAACAACAACAAGAAGATATTGTTACTTACTCCAGGGAATAGTCACATTTGCACCTACAAGTTGACCAACTTTGTCACACTGGGACAACTTCATATGAGGTCAAGACTTATGGTTCCTTGGATCACTCACAGGATATTATCCTAGGCTCTAAGACACCAGGGCTGGATTACTTACATTTTAGTCTTACTGTTGGAATATAAAGCTTCAAGCCCTGGGTGGCCCTGGGGTTTTGACTTTTGTCACCATCTCTTTGTCTGAACTCAGCCTCATGGCTGCTTCTTGGCAACTGGAAAATATTCTCTGGACACTGAATTGCTGGTCTACCTCTCCTGGTACTAACCTTCACCTAGATTTTTAACTATGATGTCCTATAGTCACAGATTGGTAGTGGTGGTTTAGTTGCTCAGTCGTGTCCACCCTTTGCAACACCATGGACCATCGCCTGCCAGGCTCCTCTGTCCATGGGATTCTCCAGGCAAGAATACTGGAGTGGGTTGCCATTTCCTTCTCCAGGTGATCTTCCCAACCCAGGGATCGAACCCAAGTCTCTTGCATTGCAGGTAGATTCTTTACCACTGAGTCACCAGGGAAATTACAGATTAGCTCTTAATATGTAGAAGAAAACATTCTAAATTATATTTTACTAAGCATTTTAGCTTTTTTTACTTTACAGAGTTGGTTTAAATTATGTAAATAACCATTACTGGAAATGAGAACCCTTTAGTAAATGTCACAACAACCACAATATAATCATAACCCCAACATCAGTTAATCCATGGCATCAAAATGGATTTGTATCTACTCAAGGAAGAAAGTCACAATTAACTGTTTTCTGTCACATAGCTGAAGGCATGGGATATAATATGTCTTATTAGGCAAATATTCATTGGGTTTTGGGTTGTGAATGAGGAAGATATATGATAGCATTATATTCAGTTTTCTAAAGGTACAGTTTAGGTAGTACAGTAATAATTCAGGTAAGCCATGCACATGCACACAGATAAATTTTATGCTTTAAAACACTCTAAATCTATTACTTTAATGAAAGTAAGTGCTGAGCATTTTTGGGAATTTAATCATAGTGGATTCTGATTACCTGCTGTTATCTAAGTAGGAGTTGCCTTCTACTGGTTATGTGGCTTCTCTGCACCAATCCCCATCAGGCTGAAAAATATCAGATCAGGTTTAGGAAAGAATTCAGCCTTTGTATAAAAGAACTATCTATTCATTAGATTCCACTGATATTTTCAGTGCCTATTTCCTTGGCAGCCTTCTTGGTGAAGCCTTACTTATCTGATTTAAGTTTCCCTGAAGAGTGCAACTCACATCAATTTATTCTGATTTGATGTACTGAAGTCCACTTTCTGTACTGGTCTCTTTTTGGGATCTTCTGTCTCCAAGATTCTAGTAGCTGGGTGAAGCCCAACAATAACCAGAAGTCTAAGACTAACTCAAGTTAAGCATATGTACACATGTACACATACATATATACATATATAAAATATGGTAGAATATATTATATATATAATATGGTAGAATGTACTATATATATGTATATAGATATGTTATATGGTAGAATAATATAACATGGAAGAACATGGTAGAAGCAGGCAGGTGTAAAGATAAATTTAGTGTAGGTAAGTGGAACAGATTTTTTCCTTATGGTTAATATTTTTGTGTCTTATTTAAAAAATTCTTCTTCTCTACAAAGTCATGAAGATAGTCTCCTACATTCTTTCCTAAAAGCTTCAAAAATTAGTCTTTCATAATTAAAACTTTAGTGAGAATAGGCAATATTAATTCATTTTCAATATCTGATGGAAGAGTTTAAATGTTTCACCATTAACTATACAGTTGGTTCTGGGGTGTTTTGTTTTCATTTTTTCCTCATAGCTAGACTTTATCAGGTTAAGAAAGTTCCTTTATACTTCCAATTTACTAAGAGATGAATGCCTAATTTTATCAAACACTTTTTCTGTATTACAACGAATGTAATAATTGTGAATGTAACAAATATGGTTTTGCTAACGTTGTTAACTTGCATTCCTGGGATAATTCCAACTTGGTCAAAGTGCATTGTTTTTTATATATCGTTGAATTCTGTTTACTAATATTTTGGTCAGGACTCTTTGCATCTATATTTATGAGGAAGTTGAATCTGTAGCCTTTCTTTCTTTTAATGTCCTAGTCAGACTTGGTAAACAAGGCTGTGTGTGTCATAAAATGAGTTGGGGATGATGTTTCCTCTATTTCTATTCTTGGTAAGAGTTTGAGAAAATTTAGTAATAATTATTTTTTGTGATAAAGAACCTGCTTGCCAATGCAGGAAACTAAGAAATGAGGGTTCGATCTCTAGGTCGGGAAGATCCCCTGGAGGAGGGCATGGCAACCCACTCTAGTATTATTCAGGCTTCCCAGCTGGTGCTAGTGGTAAAAAACCTGGCTGCCAATGCAGGAGACATAAGAGACAAGGGTTCGATCCCTGGGTTGGAAAGCTCCCCTGGAGGAAGGCATGGCAACCCCCTCTAGTACTCTTGCCTGGAGAATCCCATGGACAGAGGAGCCTGGAGAGTCGGGCGCGACTGAAGCGACTCAGCATGCATGCATGCATGCATGTTCTTTGAAAACTAACTCCCTTATGAAGCCATCTGGGCCTCTTCCTAAAGGAATCTTTTTTTCCCCCTCTGGATGATTTTGAGATTTTATATTTGATTATAAAAGATGTGGGCTTCTTTTCTCTTTTACTGCTGCTGCTGCTAAGTCGCTTCAGTCATGTCCGACTCTGTGAGACCCCATAGACGGCAGCCCACCAGGCTCCTCTGTCCCTGGGATTCTTCAGGCAAGAACACTGGAGTGGGTTGCCATTTCCTTCTCTTTTACTACCTGGGATTGACTGGGCCTCTCGAATCTGTAGATCTGGCATTTTCATCAGTTGTTTTTTTTTTTTTTAAATCAGATGCATGCATCTGTCCCTGGGATTCTCCAGGCAAGAACACTGGAATGGGTTGCCATGCCCTCCTCCAGAGGATCTTCCACACCCAGGGACTGAGCCTGAGTCTCCTGCATTGCAGGCAGCTTTTTTTCTGCTGAGCCACCCTGGAAGCCCTTTTAACAAATAGTCTCCTTCAAATATGGCCTCTGCCACATCCTCTTTCCCATCTCCTGCTGTGACTATCATCAGACATAAAATAGACATTCTCATTCTGTTTTATTTTTCTTGATCTTTCTTTTATGTTTTCCATCTTTTGGTCTTTCCTTGCTCTATTCAAGATATTTTCTTCTGAGTTATCTACAGTTCATTAACTCTTTCTTTAGGTATGTCTAACCTGCTGTTAAACTCATCCACCAAGTTCTTAGTTCTATTATTCTATTTTTCAATTCTAAAATCTCTATTTTAAAATATTTTCCATGTAACTTTCATTTGTTCCTATACCCTACAGATTTATAAATGCTTGTCTTTTTTTCCCTCTAAACCTAGCCATCAAAGTTTTTCTACATTTTGAGTCTGACAATTCCATATTTGGAGACTTCAGGTGTATGATTCTATTTTTAAAAATCTGCTCTGCTATATTTTGTTCAAGGTGTTTTGGTTTTGTGTATGTCTGGTTGTCTTTGGTGGGTTGCTGACAATTGTACTTAAAATTATCTGTATGTTGGCATTTGCTTCTATTGGGTGATGGGGCTATTTTTAGGCAGGACCATATTGTTTCAAGTTCGAGGCATGACTCACAGAAATGCTGTAACCCCTTGGGGGCTGACTTATTTACATTTCTTACTTTTTCTAAGGATGTGGTTTTGGGACCCCAGCTTGTTAGACTTCCTATTGTATATGGGTCTGAGCTTTGATTTCTGTCTCTCTTGATCCCTGAAAATATAAAAATAAACATGTAAATATATAGGTATTGGCAGGTACTAACAGGGCAAATGCAGCTTTTGCACTTATTTACCTTCGCAGGTCCCTAATTTCCCTTAAGTTTTGGCCTGGGTATATCTTACTATGCTGTTAGCAATTTAATGATTTTACAATAAGTTTTAAAGTAATACTTTTTTTTTCCCCAAGATCTTAGTGATGTTCGATGATTCCTAGTGGCTCAGATGGTAAAGAAACTGCCTGCAATACAGGAGACCCGGGTTCAATCCCTGGGCCAGGAAAATCCCCTGGAGAAGGAAATGGCTACTCACTCCAGAATTCATGCCTGGAGAATTCCATGGACAACAGCCTGGTGGGCTACAATTGATGAGGTCACAAAAGGGTCGGACACGGCGGAGCCAGTAACGCTTTGGACTTCCCTGGTGGCTCAAAGGGTAAAGTGTCTGCCTACAATGTGGGAGACCCGGGTTCAATCCCTGGGTCGGGAAGATCTCCAGAAGGAAATGGCAACCCACACCAGTATTCTTGCCTGGAAAACCCCATAGACGGAGAAGCCTGGTAAGCTACAGCTCATGGGGTCGCAAAAACTCGGACACAGCTCAGCGACTTCACTTTCACTTTAGTGATTTTCAGCTGGTGGGAGATTGCTTCAATAAGCTAGTTCACCATTAACAGAAATTCATATTTCTCATCTTTGGGGAAGCAAAAATTTTCTTTTGATTTGTAACAAGTCTAGAGTTTGAAGGACAGTCAAGATCAGAGTTCAGGATTCTCAGACACTTTTCATTTTTTTATGATGTTTTTGAGCTCATATCCTTAGAGATATTTTTGAGAACTTGATTTCCCTTTCCCCACTGGCCACCTTGTGACTCTAAAAGAGAAAAAGACATTTCCCTCTATTCTTCTAGGTTTTTTGCTGAGACATCTCTTCTTCGTAATAAATACAGATTAACAAGAGAAAAACAAACAGAAATTTAACAATATGTATATTTCTTGTATACATGGGAGAGATCCAGGAAAACTGAGTAACCCACCTGAAATGGCTCCAGAAAGAAAGTGAAAGTCGCTCAGTCATGTCCAACTCTTTGTGACCCCATGGACTGTAGCCTGCCAGGCTCCTCTGTCCATGGAATTCTCCAGGCAAGAATACTGGAATGGGTTGCCCTTCCCTTCTCCAGGGAATCTTCCCGAGCCAGTAATCAAACACAGGTCTCCTACATTGCAGGCAGATTCTTTACCAGCTGAGCTGCCAGGGAAATGGCCCCAGCCACCGCCTTAAATATCAGTTTCAGATAAAGACAAAAGAAAGGTGTTGGGGGCTGGGCAGAGTCAGTTATGGGAGGTTATCAGAAAAAGCAGAGTAAATAAGGATAAAGTTGTTACAGAGATTTATGGCCACACCTTCTCTATTGACAAGAGTTTATTGTGATTTAGAATCATCCTTCTCTTCCTGGTGCACAGAGGAAGATACTTTCAAATGAAGAATTCCTTTATAAATGTAAACGTCTGCTTACCAAATAGTGACTTCTACTCTGGTTTTCAGAGTTTCTCCTGTGTCTTCTGTTTCCTAAAAATAGTCAACTCAAAAGAATTCTTATGCTAATGAGGCATATGGGGGTGGGGAGGGGGCATCCCCTTTCAAAACCAAGAGATCATTTAATTCGCTGTCTTGTTCCTATTTGCAGAGGCTGATGAATGGCAAGAATCAGAGGAAGAGGTGGAACATATCCCATTCTCCCACACCAGATACCCAGAGAAGGAAATGGTTAAGAGATCCCAAGAGTTTTATGAACTTCTCAATAAGAGACGGTCTGTTAGATTCATAAGTCACGAGCAGGTCCCAATGGAGGTCATTGATAATGTCATCAAAGCAGCAGGTCTGTACATTCGCAGTGGGTCTTTGAGAGTGTCCGCTGCAAGAGATAGTAGTAGAGCGATGTTGAAGTTCAAACACAGCAGACAAAGCCTGGAGTGATAGGTTTACCTGTGAAATCTTGTTAGTGCACAGTGAGGCCGAACACACCAAAATGTAGGAGTTTGGAGCAGAGAAAAGTTTATTGAGGAGAGGGGTGGTTCATTCCCTAAAAGCCCCCTGAGTTCAAAGCATTTTTTTTTTAGTTTTTCTTTTTTTTATTATTATTATTTTTTTCCATTTATTTTTATTAGTTGGAGGCTAATTACAACATTCTAGTGGGTTTTGTCATACATTGACATGAATCAGCCATGGATTTACATGTATTCCCCATCCCGTTCCCCCTCGCACCTCCCTCTCCACCCAATCCCTCTGGGTCTTCCCAGTGCACCAGGCCCGAGCACTTGTTTCATGCATCCAGCCTGGGTTGGTGAGCTGTTTCACCCTAGATAATATACATGTTTCGATGCAGTTCTCTTGAAACATCCCACCCTTGCCTTCTCCCATAGAGTCCAAAATTCTGTTCTGTACATCTGTGTCTTTTTTTCCTGTTTGGAATATAGGGTTATCGTTACCATCTTTCTAAATTCCATATATATGCGTTAGTATACTGTATTGGTCTTTATCTTTCTGGCTTAATTCACTCTGTTTTTAAAAACCAGGTGAGGGAGAGAAGTTGCAGGGTATGTGATCCACTCAGGCATGAGTCTCTGGCTGATGGGTGGTGTCATAGGGATTAACTTCATCAGACCTTAGGCTCCAGGAGGCCTGAGGCTATGAGCTCGTGGGGTCAAATAGTTAACACCTTCCATTTGGTGGGGGGTTTCACCACTGAGAGTAACACGGAAACTTACATTACCATATGTAAAATACATAGCCAATGGGAATTTGCTGTTTGTCTCTGGGAACACTAGCAGGGGCTGTGGATCAACCTAGAGGGGTGGGATGGGGAGGGAGATGGGAGGGAGGTTAAAGAGGGAAGGAGGGGATGTGTGTACACCTATGGCTGATTCATGCTAATGTTTGACAGAAAACAACAAAATTCTGTAGAGCAATTATCCTTCAGTTAAAAAATAAATAAACTTTAAAAAAAAAGTGATGTCTGGGGTTAAAAAAAAAACAGCTCTGGAAATGTGCGTCAGATACTGTTATCTAGGTACTTCAAGAGGCGCTAAAGCAGAGGATATGGGAAAAGCCCATCCTAGAAAGGCCCCATAGGGTCCTTCTTGGTTACAGTCTTACCCACATGTTGACTAACTTCTAGGGACATAATGACTTCCATTTTCTACAAATGTCTAACTATTACAGACTTTCTGGGAGCAGATGGGACAACAGTTCAAAACTTCTAAAGTTATTCAATGTTATAAAGTTTTATGAAAAATGAAAATTTCTGAACATATTACACAATGGAAGAGAAAACACATCCTCTTACTTTCCCCTCCCCTTAAAACACATGCATACGTGCATGAGCACACACACACACAGACACACACTCACACAGACACATACTCACATTTATATATTTCTCTTTTGGGGACCAAATTTCTTGGACCACACACCATGATGCTCTGTTCCAATGAACTAGCAAACTTCATGTGAATTCACAAAGTAAATTGAATCAAGATAAACCCATTTTTAATGCAAAGTAATAAATATCTCCCTAGAAGAAGAGATGAGAATTACAGACAACGGGAAGGATATATAAGAGAAAGGCCCCTATTTGAGAGTCTCCTCTGACTGGGTTCTTATTCCTATACAAAATCACATTTAAGTTAATTTTCAGAAATTACTGCACGAACATTATACATCCATTGCCCGAATTAAAAGGAAGTAAGAATGAAAAATTTTATTTCAGTTAAGAGCACAAATGAACTAGATTGGTGAGTCCTTTATCTAACTAATAGCAGTTATTAAATATCCTCTGTGTGTATATCTGTATTTAACTATGCATGCATGTGACATTCAGAGAAGTTTGGCATAACTGAAAACATTAGGGGGCAACCTATTTCTTGTGTTCAATGGCACCAATATTTAGTGAACAGACAACATGTACAAAGTGAACTGGAATCTCTCTATTCAGAAATTTGGGCTTTATGTTTGATTCGACTTGCATTTAACATTTCAGTTATGCTCTCTCTATCACGGGAACTGGTGGATGGTGAACTCATGAAGGCCGGCAGGCTTGAGACCCCTTCTATAGAGTTTATGCCATTGAATTACTCATTAGGAAGAAAAAAAGACTTACTTCTGAAATATCCCACACCATGGTCTGCTTCCAGAAACAGTGAGCGATTTCTAGGACAGAGAGGCAACATCCAGACCAGAACCTGGCTCACTCCTTAGCTGAAATCGTAAAGAGAATTGAAGCTCCTTGAGTCCCCGATGCACTGTGAAGCTTTGTCGGGGATACCGGGACTGACCCAAGTGTGGTCTGAGGTTTCCCAAAGCCTGTGAGAGCTGAAAGACACCACTGTTACGTGTCTGAGCGCCCAGGGCCAAGAAGTTTCATGTATTCACATAAGACCACAACCCCTCAGAACTGTGATATAGGCACTAAACAATTTATAGTTCAGTTGCCTTTCGGCGAGTGCTCTTTTAAAAATCTATTAATTTCTTTAGTGGCTGTGCTGGGTCTTCGTTGCTGTGTATGCTTTTCTCTAGCTGAGATGTGCAGGCTTCTTGTTGAGGCGGCTTCTCTAGTTGGAGCACAGGCTCCAGGCACAGGGGCTTCAGTTCTTGTGATACATGTGTTCACTAGTTGCAGTCCCTGGGCTCTCGAGCGCAGGCTCAATAGCTGTGGCACATGGGTTTAGTGGCTTCTTCATATGTGGGATCTTCCCGGACCAGGGATCAAACCCATGTCCTCTGCAACGGCAGGAGGATTCTTATCCACTGAGCCACCAGGGAAGCCCTGGAGAGTGCTTTTAACCATGTAAAAATTTTAAACGCTTTTTACCATTTAAATTTTTTGAATTCCAATAACCTTCACGACTTAACACTTTTTTTCAAGACTACCAAAACAAATAGGATTTTGGAGGATTTTGCCTGATAGAGCTTGCCCTCTGAGTTTCCTTACTGGCCACGGTATAGTTTTCAAAGGACGTCTTCTCCCACATAATAAGAGAAGCAGTGATAAACTCCCATAGCCCAGGAACTACTGGCCTTGATCTCAGTTAGTTGGTTCAAATATCCTGACAGCGAGATGGAGCAAAACAGGATGTCAGCAAGACCCCAGTGGCTACCGCTGGGCCCTTTGTGCACTAGATGATTTAACACTATCTTGAGCAAATATGAGTTATAGGAATTCTTAGCTAACAGTCACATTCTCCTGCAGTTTTAATTTCTGATGCTAATTGAATGTGTGATAGGAACAGCCCCAAGTGGGGCCCACACAGAGCCCTGGACATTTGTGGTGGTGAAGGACCCAGACGTGAAGCATAAGATTCGGGAGATCATTGAGGAAGAAGAGGAAATAAACTACCTGAAGAGGATGGGACCTCGGTGGGTCACAGACCTGAAGAAATTCAGGTACAAAAGTGGGGAGAATCAGGCATGTTCCGTTTGGCTTCTTAAAATGAGATAACTAAGATTCAGTTTCCTGGTTTGTTTTAGGGGTTAAAAAGTTTCATTTTACCTGTGGGAGAAATAAGGGAAGTGCAACCAGGCCTCACCGCTGTGTTGCCTTGAGCACACATATTGAGCAGTTATCAGAGATGCTGGCTGGGATCACAGCTCAGTTCATGTCTCAGCTCTGGTTTTTCCAAGTGCAAGACCTTGGGTGTCTGCTTGCTGTCTCCAAGTGCATGAGTCTGGATTCTGCAGAGAAACAGAATCAATGCAGAGACAGACAAAGACAGAGAGAAATAGAAACACACAAGAAAGAGATTTATCATATTATTACATATAACAGATAATATTATTTATTATAGAGCTTCCCTGGTAGCTCAGCTGATAAGGAATCCATCTGCAATGCAGGAGACCCTGGTTCAATTTCTGGGTCGGGAAGTTCCCCTGGAGAAGGGATATTCTCCAGTATTCTTGGGTTTCTCTGGTGGCTCAGCTCAGAATCCATCCACAGTGCAGGAAACCTACATTCAATCCCTGGGTTGGGAAGATCCGTGGAGGAGGGCATGGGAACCCACTCCAGCATCTTGCCTAGAGAATCCCCATGGATGGAGAAGCCTGGCAGACTATAGTCCATGAGGTCACAAAGAGTTGGACACAACTGAGAGACTAAGCACATTTTAGCACATTATTTATTATAATAGACAATTTATTATTTATAATTGGCTCATAATTACTTGAGCCAACTTATTATAACTGGCTTAAATGGTTACGAAGGCTGAGAAATCCCAAGACCTGCACTCAGCAAGCGGGAGGCCCAATAGAGCTGATGCTGCTGTTCCAGTCTGAGTCCAAAGGCCTGGGAATCAGGGGAACTGGTGGTGTATGTTCCAGTCCAAGTCTGAGTCCAAGGGCAGGAGAAGACTGATGTCCCAACTCAAAGACAGTCAGGCAGAAAATTATCCCTTACTCCACCTGTGTTTTCTCTACTCAGGGCTTCAACAGATTAGATCAGGCCACCAACATTGGGAAGGTTAATCTGCTTTACTCAATCTGCCAATTCACATGTTAATCTCATCCAGAAACATGCTTTCGACTCACCCAGAATAATGCTTAACCAACTATCTGTGTTCCTTGTGTCCCAGTCAAGTTGGCACATTAACTTAACCATCACATTAAGCTTCTATTTTTTTCACCCGAAATAATGTTAAAAACTTGGTATCAGGATTAAATAAGATAGAGGCTAAGAGTAGGGCCTTAGAAGCTGGAGTGCTTGGGTTCAAATATGAGATCTACTATTTATTAAACTCTTTGTGCCTCAGTTTCTTCATCTGCAAAATGGAAATAAGTCTAGTGTCTATTTCATTATGAAATCTGGATGTGTTTGTAAGCATGCAGAACAGCGATGACACATAGTAAGTCTAGTAAACAAGTAGGCTCTGACCCAAATAATTATTAGCAAACAAAACTTTGAGGATGTACTTTTCTACTATCTGGAGCATAAGACTGTGAAATTCTCAGGATCTTGAATGAATAAATGACATCTTTCTATAATGATCACATCTTCCCCATGATCTCACTGAGCAGGCTTTAGTTTTAGTACATGCTCAATAAAAATACAAATTTAGTGCAGTTATAATATCCATTAGGCATTAGTAACTTTGCAGGTTTCCTTAACTCCAGGGAAAGAGAGTTGGAATTCAGTGTAACTGGCTTTACCATGAAGCTTCAATGTATTAGAGCAGACACATGTGAAGTTTCATTTTTTTCTAGAATCTGCAACTAACTATGCCCTGTTGAGCACATTTTCCCCGTTGAGGACCAGTCACCCTACATTATATCTAGGATGAATTCAGTAATTTCTCAGTCATTTTCATAGTTAAAAACACTCCATTTTTTCAGACTAGGCCTTGTTATTTTATTTTTTAATTAAAATGTTTCTTTAGTTTGTTGTTTATCTTTTCAGCTGCACTGGGTCTTTGTTGTAGCACATGAGCTTTCTCAAGATGAGGCACATGGCTTAGCTTGTTGCAGAGAAAGTGAAAGTCGCTCAGTTGTGTCAGACTCTTTTCGACTCCATGGACTATATGGTCCATGGAATTCTCCAGGCCAGAACACTGGATTATGTAGCCTTTCCCTTCTCCAGGGGATCCTCCCAACCCAGGGACTGAACTCAGGTCTCCCGCATTGTAGACAGGTTCTTTACCAGATGAGCCACAAAGGAAGCCCCTTTCAGCCTTGTCATTTAGGACACTGGTCGCAGGGTCCTCTTTACAAACACTGCACTCGTCATAGGCGTTTCATTTCCCCTCTGAAGTCTTCTCAGGCTGAGTATGAGGAGGGGTGGGGTGCCAATTCTAGCCCTTGGCGTGTAGAAGGTAGGAGTTCTCATGCCCCAGGCTGTCAGCTGTGGGCCTTTAGTGGCCACTTCCAGCACCAGCCACCCAACACCCACTGTGACAGAAGCCTGAGGAAAGGCAATGGGCTCACCACCTTGTGGAGTGAAGCGGGGGTCTCCTCTGGTAGACAAGGCTGGGTGATGAGAAGGCTGGCCTCTTAGACCTGCTCCTTTCATTTCTTTGGCCCCAGCAGACATTTGTTTTTTCCTGAGATACTATTTAAACCGTATCAAAATGGATGTCTATTGGCAATGTAACTTATAGTTGTGTTCTGGAATAAGTGCAGGGTATTAATAATAAATACATAAATCTTACAGCACATTTATGAGAAAACACAGACAGGTAAAGTCCAGTTGAGCCCGTCCCTCTTAGAGAGACATTTTGCTCTTGTGTGTATGCAGTACCTACAACACACTGCCAGCCCCGTCTCTCCCCAGTGAAGGCAGAATCGGCTGCTCTCTTGTCTCTATGCCCAAAGCACTTTATACACACCTTCCATGCATCTGAAATAGCCATTACCACACAGGATTTTGGGCTTCCCTGGTAGCTCAGCTGGTAAAGAATCCGCCTGCAATACAGGAAACCCTGGTTCGATTCCTGGGTTGGGAAGATCCCCTGGAGAAGGGATAGACTACCCATTCCAGTATTCTTGGGCTTCCTCGGTGGCTCAGCTGGTAAAGAATCCACCTGCAATGCAGGGAGACCTGGGCTTGATCCCTGGGTTGGGAAGATCCCCTGGAGGAGGGCATGATAACCCACTCCAGCATTTTTGCCTGGAGAATCCTCATGGGCAGAGGAACCTGGTGGACTACAGTCCAGGGGGTCACAGAGTCGGACACGACTGAGTGACTAAGCACAGCACACAGTACTTCAATTGCTGGCTTGCTTTTCTTCTCATTTTCATTTCCATATTTTGGAAACCTCTGTTGTACACCAAGATACTCATGAGAGTCCAATGAGCATTATGGACTTTCTCTGCAGACAATATGTACACACAGATATGTTCATAAAAAATCTAGGGCCCAGCCTTGTATCACTTAGCACAGTGCTAATGTATAGTAGGTAACTGAATAAATGTTTGCTAAATTGCAAATGAACACTCACCTCACTCACCTCCTGATATCCAATTTAGGTCAGTTCTCAAACTCAGGGCTGTCATTAAAGCCTATAATATACAATCTGGTCCAACTTACCTGTCAAGCTTTGTTCTCCTGCTGCTGGCACGAGGCCCTCTGCCCCAGGCAGAAGGTGTTACTTGTCCTTTCTTAACAGGCGTCGGCATGTGGCAATCTGTATTAGTTCTAATACAATGTCATAATACATTCCTGTAAAATTGAACAAACCAAAATACTAGCCATCAATGTATGCCCTGGCAGATAAGTACGAAAATGGTAAAAAATTACTACCCTGGCTCCAAAAATAGTAAATTGCTTATTCTTCACCTTATATTTAAAAATTGTTTTTAATTATTCACTGTAAGATAAAATATAGTTGTGATAATAACAATAGTCATTGCAAGCATGGCACCAAGTCCTGGGTACCATTCTAAACACTTGATTTATTTGCACTGATTTTACCACCACAAAACCTTTTGAGGTGAGTACATTTTACACATAAGGAAGATGAGCTGTGAGAAAGGGAGAGACTTACCTAACATGGCAAAGCTAGTTGACTCCAGAGTGTTCTGGTAAACTAGTAACATTCTCCCTCCTTCTAAAGAGGAAAAGCATTGATCCTAGTCAAACGTGAGTAAGCTGGTTGAAGTACGGTGAAGTAGCTTTGAACAAGTAACCTACAGTAGTTAAGTAGGGTAAAAGAAACCATAGAAAAATATACATGATATACATGTGAGTTTAGTGTATTTTAAACAAGGAAGTATTATACTTCCTAGGTTAAAAATGAAATCAATGATTACTGTCTCTTGTTTACTGATGACATTATATACCCTAAGGGAAAATTCTAATATATAGCGTTGAATGAGAGTCTTTCCTTTGAATACCCATGCTAGAATGAAGATTTGCCAAAATATATGGGCAGGGTAATGAAAGACATGCTCTTAGCTGGAAAACAAAAAGGGAAACTCAGCATTTATACCTCCCATAAGTTATGTCCCTCTCCCACAAAGGTTTCCTTCCTTCTCTCCATAACTGGGCTAAGAGGATCACCATCTGGAGACTCGCTTCAGCCTCACTGTCACATTTTCTGTCTCCCTTTGCACCCCTGTATCATATCTGTCAGCTCCAGCCTTCACAGCTCCCCAGATTCTCCTGGGCCATGGCCGTCATCTCCTCTCTGGTCTCCCCGGAGCTGGTCCACACCAACCTGGCTCTTTCTGAAACAGATCTGATCATGTGATGCTTCTGCTCAGAAACGTGGTAACTCTTCCTGCCCTGCTAAACAAAACCCTGTGCAAAATCTGTATGAAAACTGCCAGCCCTCCAACACACGCTCCACCTCTCACACCATCCTCCAGCCTATCAGACTTCTGAAATCCCTGGCTGGCCAAGGATTCTCCTTCCGACTCTGCCCTTTGCTCATCTCTTCACTAGGGTGCCCTCCTCAATGCCCTTTTTCCACTTGGCCTTCAGCATCCCTCCTCAAGAGAAACCTTGGATACAATCTGACAATCTTCTTTTTTAAAATTAGCATTTCATTTTTGAGCTCCTAAGGCATTCGGCTTATTTTTCTTTCATAAAACTTACCAAGTTTTTATTTTACTTAATGTGACTTATTACCCTCTGGGCTATAGGATCCATCTTTGTGTCTTTTCAGTCTTGCCATATGACTTTTTATGAATATCTGTTTATTGGCTTTGGCTAGAAAAAGATAAATATGACAAAAGAATAATCCTGGTCTTTTTCAATTTTAACATAAAAGACAAGTAAATGTTTTTATTTTTCATGTCAGTAAGGTGGTAAGAGGGGAACAAAAGAACCATTAACAGAAAATATTCTTCTGAATCTTTTTCTCTCCTTCAGGACCAATTGGATTAAAGAATACTTGGACACTGCCCCTGTTTTGATTCTCATTTTCAAGCAAGTCCACGGATTTGCTGCAAATGGCAAGAAAAAGATTCACTACTATAATGAGATCAGCGTTTCCATCGCTTGTGGCATCCTCCTAGCTGCCCTACAGGTATGCCGCTCTCCCTCTCTGTCCAAGAGAGAGAAGTGATATGTAGGGCCGACTGTGGTTTTATTTGTAAATTTCAGCTGAGTTTCTAGTTCAGGGGCTAGTACAGTTTCATCTAAAGTTGAATTCCTAAGGCAAGTTACTCTGATGTATAAACTACCTCTGGAAAGCTGGACTGGTGAGGATGATGGTTCAAACAATCCGGAATCCTTCCTGGAAGTTTACTTACAACATCAGTTAAGGGTCAAAAGAATGGTCACTGTGCTTGCCTTCTTTTGTAAGGACATGAAACTTTTAAGGGTTTTGGTAAACACACATGAGAAGCTTCGGAACTTGAAAGTTGCAGGGCTTGGCTTCTCAGTTGTGTTCACTGTTGTCTGAGTCAGTGGGATGATTAAAAAGCCATAAGGGGGACTCTATTATGGAGCTCCTATCCCGAGAAGTAGTTTATATATTGCATTAGAAACATGTCCATGACAAAAAACAAAAAGAAGAAGGAACATGTCCATGTGCTTAAAAAAAAAAATCCATCTATATAGTAGCTACAGTAACACTAAGCATGAAATTGAGCAGGAATTGAGGTCTGCCTTTCACAAGATTCAAGTCATTCATACACCAGATATTTTATGAGCTCCTTCTATGTGGCAGATTCCAGAAGGCACCAGGAATAGTTGCCTCCTGTGTGAACAGTATACTCTAGTGGGGACTGCAGTCCTGGGAAGGGGTGGAGAGATGGTAAACAAGTGAAATAAACAAAGCAAACAGTATTATTAGAGCGAATGAGCCAGCTTTCAAGGGATCAAGGGACAGTCGACGGCAAAAACCTATGTGCTTCTTCATTATCTCAAAGGAAAACGTGCTTGCTGAAAGCCTGCAAAATAGTCACTGTGGCATAAAAGAGGCGAAAAAAAAAAAACCATAAAAAATAAAACATTAAAAAAAAACATAAAAAACACTTTAGATGACTTGAAAAATGGTTACAAAGGAGCTGGCGTCCGGTCTCCTTCCCGATTCTGAAACAGATAAATAAAAGAGGTGCTGTACAAACGTCACGAAGGTCAGACCGCAGGGCACCGCCGTTATCCTACACAGGGTCCCGGAAGAAGCAGTTTCGCCTTGTGCCGCTGCCTTCAAGCTTCGGCTTCTGCGCGTTTGGCTAGGCAAACCTCTCCACTTTAGCGTGGAGTTTGCTGCCCTCTAGCGTTCTGTAAAGTGTAATGAGTGTGGGTTTTGTGATGAGTCGTTTTGTGAGAGAGGAAGGAATCTTCTGGGAGCCCGCCTGGACAGATTGCTCAGGGACTGTAGATATGCTTGACTCCCAAAGACAATTCCAGAACTTCCTTCTGGCCCAGGCTTCCCATTGACCATCTAACGCGAAAATCAGGGGGAGGATAGAGAGAGCCAGCTGGAAAAGTGGCTTGAAGCGACACGTGATTTTTATAGAATGTTTATTATTCAAGGGGATTGGGCAGAGGTTGGTGGGATATGTCCTCTACCTCTTAACGTAGCTCTTGGCCACTGGGTCCTCCATCGCTAGACGTCAAGTATTCTCAGCTGGGGTGATGCTTTGCTTCCACTGGTTGGTTGTACAATCACAGGAACTGGTTTTTGTCATTCCATTTCTTTGGTGTGAATCAGTTCAGTCGCTCAGTCGTGTCTGACTCTTTGAGACCCAACGGACTGCAGCAAGCCAGCCTTCCCTATCGATCACCAATTCCCGGAGTTTACTCAAACTCATGCCTATTGCGAGTCAGTGATGCCATCCAACCAGCTCATCCTCTGTCGTCCCCTTCGCCTCCTGCCTTCAATATTTCCCAGCATCAGGGTCTTTTCCAATGAGTCGATTCTTCGCATCAGATGGCCAAAGTATTGGGGTTTCAACTTCAGCATCAGTCCTTCTAATGAATATTCAGGACTGATTTCCTTTAGGATTGACATGCTTGATCTCCTTGCAGATCAAGGGACTCTCAAAAGTCTTCTCCAACACCACAGTTCAAAAGCATCAATTCTTTGGCTCTCAGCTTTCTTTACAGTCCAACTCTCATATCCATATATGACTACTGGAAAAAACAGAGCTTTGACTAGACAGACCTTTGTTGGTAAAGTAATGTCTCTGCTTCTTAATATGCTGTCTAGGTATGCTGACATATAATATGGTGTCTGGGTATGATTAGACACCTCAAATTTCTTTCCATGAAACAACCATTCCCATTTTTTAAGCACCAGTGAAGAATAAGACTGGTAGTTTCTTCTCTGAGAAGCTTCACACTGTGTGGTTCAGAGATGGAGTCTGGGGAGGTCAAGGAGGGTAGGAAAGATTCAAGACACCATTGCCCAAGTTGGTAGCTTCTTTTCTGCCCAACTATGGGACAAACAGTCTTACAGGGACTAGAACGTGCCATGCTACAGGCAGAGCTGGGGTTTTGCCTGCTGACTTTTAAATGTTTTTTCTTTTTCTCTCCTGTTGTAGAATGCCGGACTGGTGACTGTCACCACCACGCCTCTCAACTGTGGCCCCCGTCTGAGAGTGCTTCTGAACCGCCCCACCAATGAAAAACTCCTGATGCTGCTCCCTGTGGGGTACCCCAGCGAAGATGCCACGGTGCCCAACCTCACACGGAAAACTCTGGATCAGATCATGGTGACTGTGTAGGCAGGACAAAGGCAGGCAGACGCTGGAAGATGCCCTGCTCCCCTGTCCGGTTCCTCTTTCCCTGGGCATTCCGTCTCCCTGCACTCCACCCTGCAGGGGTGGCCACTATGTGATTCAAGAAGCCTTTCCATTTTCTCCAGCACTTTGAGTCTGAGAGGCCTGGTTCCAATAGTGTGATTAGCTGAACATACAGAATAAGGGATGAACAGGTATGTTCCCTTCCATTCCTTATTCACTTTGGAAATGCATTAAATGTTTATTAAGAATATGCCCTGGTTTTTAAGTATTTCTAAATTGTTCCAGAAAAATAATGGGGGATTTTTTTTCTCCTTTGCTCTTTAAAAATTCATAGAGGAAAGAGTTATCAGAAAATTTAGTGTAGTCCCAAGAGTTCAGCTGTGTGATGATTTCTGAATTTAAATTTAGATTGATCAAATCTTTCTGGTGCTTTCTGGTGGCTTTTAAGCAGGGATTATTTTTAAGAGGAAATTTTTCTGAGCTTCATGGATACTCTGCTAGTTTTCAGTAAGTAGCCTTCAAAATATTTAAAACTTCACAAGCACAGAACAGAACAGCGCATGCTTGTGCAGGCGAGTTGAACTGGCCACCATCTGGGATATAAATGGTTAGTCGCACTGTCCAGCCCAGTGTGTGTTGGAGCTGGCTCGCACCAGCTCGTGGAAGCTGATGGTTAAATATTCATGAATTTTTCATGCCAGTTATTAAACCATTTGTAGCTTGAAATTGCCGATGGTGGGAGTACACCACGGCAAGTGGCAGACACACAAATTAGGACTTGCTTTCTTTTTCTTTAAGAGCACTGTTTTCCAGACACTAACAATGTCCCTCGTCTTTTCCACTCTCCTCCATGAAACACACTTATCCTTTTTCTCCAGATGGCAGTCACACTGTTTGGAACCCATGGGGCCACAAGCTGCTGGTGGGGGGACACTGCCAGCTCCAGCCCTTCACCCGTCACTTCTGTCTCCCTTCCAGGGGTGCGGCTCACAATGGCACAGGAGTAGCTCAGATAATTGCTCATCAAGCAACTGTACTCAGACTTCTCCTGCCTCATGTCACTTTGTATGTGAGTCACACAGTGCATTGATAGGATCATCTGCAGTGTCACTGATAAAGAGTCAGGGCTGGCGACAAATCTGAATCATAGAAAAGGAAGACTTTTTTCCCCTTTAAAATATAGAGGGAATTCCCTGGCAGTCCAGTGGTTAGGGCTCCATGCTTTACTGCTGAGGGTGTGGATTCAATCCCTGGTCTGGAAACTAAGATCCTGCAAGCTTTGTGGCTTGGCCAAGAGAAAAAAAGAAAGAAAACTTAAAAAAAAAAAAAGACACACACACACACACACACAGAATTAGGTATTATGAGAACCTGTGCTTTTGACCTTTGAAATCCTTTGAAGTAGCCAGATGTCTCTTTTAGAATGCCCCAAATCTTCCATCTAAATCTTTTTTTTCTCTAGACGTTCTTTTCCCCAAGTCTACACATTTTACTAAATCCTTCCCTTCCTATATTTTGTTTCTATTCTTTTTCAGCCAATTATTAGTACTGTGATAGGTGTTTGTCCTGAACTCTTCACTGTAAACGAACATTGTTTTAACTGCATTGCGGCTTTATTAGACCTAATCACAGTACTTCCAGTAGTTTTTAAAAGGACAAAAGATACTCTTGAGTCCCAATGGGAGAACAATAAACACTTTGGTATCACAATGCAAAGAAACTGAAGTTGTATCTATGAGCTTGTGTTTCTTCTGTTTTGAAGCTGTTTGAACCCAGGGGGTTCTTTACTAGTTTCAGTGCATCCTGCTGAAGAGGTGAGGGAAAAGGGGAAACTTGCCTCCCGGATGTAGGGTGGAAAAGGAATCCACGCCAGGGGTGGGGGTCTGGGTTCAGTTGTTCAAGTGCAAAGTCTCTTGAGAGGAAAGGAGAAGTCCAGTCACATGAGTTAGAGCTCCTGAGCAAAGAGTTGATCTGGTTGCCTTCTAATCATGCCATCCAGAAACACAGCTCTGATCTGTCACGGATGCTGAACTGAGTTGCCAAGGTGCAGCTCTGGGAGCTGCTCCAGCTAGCTTTCTCTTTGGAGGATAGGATTATTCATAATTCTTCATCTGGATAGCCCAGCATAGACAGGCCTGGATTCAAGTTCCCCTTCAACTTCTCCCCAGCTGGGTGGCCATGGGGAACTGGATCTTTCTCAGCCTCATTTTCTTCATCTGTGAAATGAGGAGAAGTGTAGTGCTTACCTAGGACTATTTTGATCGAGTGTGATGATTCACATTATAGTTCCTGGCATAGGGTATGTGACACCTGGTGCTAGCTTTGACTGAGGGCTCTTGATATTACTTCCCTGGTGGCTCAGGCGGTAAAGCATCTGTCTACAATGCGGGAGATTTGGGTTAGATCCCTGGGTCAGGAAGATTCCCTGGAGAAGGAAATGGCAACCCACTCCAGTACTCTTGACTAGAAAATTCCATGGACGGAGGAGCTTGGTGCAGGCCACTGTCCATGGGGTCGCAAAGAGTCGGGCACAACTGAGTGACTTCACTTTCTTTCTTGGTATTATTTAGTTATGACTAACCTAAACAGCATATTAAAAAGCAGAGACATTACTTTGCCAACAAAGGTTGTCTAGTCAAGGCTATGGTTTTTCCAGTAGTCATGCATGGATGTGAGAGTTGGACTATAAAGAAAGCTGAGTGCAGAAGAATTGATGCTTTTGAACTGTGGTGTTGGAGAAGACTCTTGAGAGGCCCTTGGACTGCAAGGAGATCCGACCAGTCCATCCTAAAGGAGATCAGTTCTGAGTGTTCATTGGAAGGATTGATGTTGAAGCTGAAACTCCAATACCTTGGCCATCTGATGCAAAGAGCTGACTCATTTGAAAAGACCCTGATGCTGGGAAATATTGAAGGCGAGAGGAGAAAGGGACGACAGAAGATGAGATGGTTGGATGGCATCATTGACTCAAAGGACATGAGTTTGAGTAAACTCTGGGAGTTGGTGATGGACAGGGAAGCCTGGCATGCTACAGTCCATGGGGTTGCAAAGAGTAGGAGACGACTGAGTGACTGAACTGAACTGAACTTGATATTATTATGAATGTTATTACTGTTCTGATTAATACTATGTGCTATGCACATTTGACCATGAAAATTAAAACCATAAAATGACACCCTTCAAGAGTCTTGTCCTTAATGCGTTAAATCATCTTAAAACGTGAAAGAACGCTGTCTGCTGTCTCAGCTTGAGCCTGTTTTGAGGATGGAGGTTAATTTGACTATGTCTGATGGGTTCTGGGAGCCTCTGGATGGGACATCGGAATCTCTTTAATAGTAAGATCTATAAACAGAGGTCTTTTTTTCTTTGTTTGTTTAACTTTTAATTTTATATTGACATGTAGCCACTTAACAATGTTGTGATAGTTTCAAGTGCACAGCAAAGGGACTTAGCCATAGACACACATGTATCCATTCTCTCCCAAACTCCCTACTGCATCCAGCTGCCACATAACCTTGAGCAGAGTTTCCTGTGCTATATGTAAGACCCAGCTGGTTATCTGTTTTAAATATAGCAGTGTGTACATGTCCATCCCAAACTCCCTATCTTTCCCCACATTCTCCCCCACTACCCCAGAGATCTATCAACAGAGATCTATCTAATAGTAGGGAAAAGCATCCTTGGAAAACTTTTTTCAGGGAAGAGACAATGAAGACACATAGTAAGATACCACGATGACAATCAGTGTCAGAAAAAAGAAGCAAATCTAAATGTGGCATAGACAGCTGCTCCCAAGTTATATATTGTCCCCACTTGTTAAAGAATCTGCTTGTAGTGTGAGAGACCCAGGTTTGATCGCTGGTTGAGAAGATTCCCCTGGAGAAGGGAATGGCAACTCACTCCAGTACTCGTGTCTGGAGAATCCCATGGGCAGAGGAGCCTGGAAGGCTACAGTCTATGGGGTCGAAAGAGTCAGACACAACGGAGCAATTAACACATTTGTTAATCATCTGAACATTTTGTCATAGACTCACCCTATGGAGACTTGCATTGCTTGCTCTTTTCTGTCGGCTGTGACTATTTTTTTCCTCTCACTTTCACCATTATAAATCCAACTGGCCTTTCTTGTTTCTTCTGTCCTCCCTGCTCCCTTTCCCCCATAAATTATTCTGATCCTGGTAATAAAGGCCTAACAATGACAGGTGAGGGGAGACCTTTCTTAGCCAGTTGGGGAGAGAGGAGGAGATGCTGCAGCCTCATATGTCAATATCACCATCGAGGCCACATCCAAAAGTCAGTGGTGGCAACGGGCTCAATGGTTGAGCACAAGAGAGTTACTCAGCCTGGGTTTATTATATCCCTGCTCTGCCAGACATCTAAAGGGAAAAGTCCTTGGTAGTCTTAGGCTAATTGCTTAATCAAGGCTCGTATCTGATGTGTAAAATGGGGTGAGTCATACGTTACCTTGTGGGGTCTGGCATAGTCTCTGGTACACAGCATTTAAAAGTGATAGCGTCTTGATGTGAAGGTGATGGTTGACATCACTGTTGTCTTCAGGCAGCCCTACTTTGGGTTCCAGGTGAGCTAAGATTAGAGGGGTGGGTGAGGGACCCCTTCCTCTCAGATGAGAGGCCTGGCTGGGGTTCAGGTGGCAGCTGCAGGCCAGCTGAAGGTGGCCCAGGGTGTCAGCTACACTGGGTCAGAGAGCTTCCCAGCAGATGTCACCACTGGGAGCCTAAAAATGCTTTTTTTCCCCTCTGTTGTAGTTATCAATTCGATATGCAGTCGGGTAATTACTCCTTACATGCATTTTTAACATTTTTAATTAAAAATTACAGTTGAGGAAGAGAAAATTGGAAGCGCTCACCCTAGAGATTACATACCAGGAGTGATTTCCTCACCCCCACAGCCCACTGGCTGGAACTAAGTCATGTGGCCCCATCAGAAAGCCAGGAAAAGTCACCCTCCTGTGTCCAGAAGGAGAGGGAACTGAGATGGGGCTACACAAGCATTAGAAGTCTTTTCTTCTCAAACAAGTAACTTAAGACTTCAGAAATAAAATTGGATACAAAAAACGTGTGGAGAGAGAAAGGAAGGCTGAAGAAATGGACAAAATTAGAATTAGGATGGTGCAAGGCATAAAGATTCTCTTCTGAAAAGTAAACATTAAAATTGGTTGATACTTGTCTGATGCAGCTTTTAAATACAGCATAAATTTAGGCCAAGAAAGTTAATATAAATGTACTGAGA